CTGTGCTGCCCACCTCCATGGTGGACATCGTCTGCTGTCCCACGCCCTTCCTAGTCGGGATTCTGTCCAGCTCACTGCCAAAGATCAAGGAGCTGCCAGTGGAGGAGGTACTTGATATCTCTTGTCACTAACTCCCAGCTATGCTGTTGTCACCCATCTTGTTTGTTGTAATAGGACACTTTGTCAAGTGTGTACAACATGTGCTTGGCTTTGTACCCACCTAAATTAAACTGGTTTGACTGATAAACAGTCATTAGATCCAGGGAGAGAACTCGTGTAGAAAAACCTAAATTCATAACCACAAAGACTTACTTTTTATTTCAAAGTTTCAAGCATTTTTCCTAGCTCTTGGAGGCTATTATTCTGCAAGATGTGACTTTGAATTCCTGTGAATATAGTCACATTGGCTGCTCTCCTTAACAGTTGCTCTTACTCTAATAATCTGCCTGAACATTGAACCCTTATGTAGTAGAATAAGGGGCTAAAGTCATTTTCCCAGATTCAGAAAACTGTTGAAATGAGTGAGAAACATACTAAGTATAATAACATGCCCAGAACGTGGGCCAGTTTTTGTGTATGAGCCTTGAATGAGGCGTCAGCTTCATAAGCCTAGCTCAGCATTCCTGGCCAGGCTGTTGCCTTTCTCCCTTCTAAACTTTCCCAACCGGGAGAGTGTTGTTGTTCCCAGCTGCCCATAGGACACTGCCAGCTTGGCCACAGGGCTGAAGTTTGGTCCCTACTGAGTGTTTGGCATTTAGTGCGTTTGGCAGAAGTCGTCTTTAGTACTTTTTAGACATAAGTGCACTTGTAATGGCCATAAGGGGTGACCCTTTGCAGTGAAGACATCTGGAAGCACACCAAATTGTGCTGCTTGTCGTTGTTAACAGTGCGTTTTTAAATGGATGTCAGGCTCCATCTGTTGTGGATCAACTTGTGGAAATACTGTGACGTACGAACCTCCCAAAACAACTGAGTATAGTGTGATTAAACAGAATGATGCTACTTAATGTTTGAGATCTGTTTCTCTTTACGTTTCAGGCTTTAATGGTCGATCTTGGAACGGACCGCTTCATCAGACAGGTTCGTCTGCCCACAAAGTTTGACAAACTCTCCCATGGCTCTAGCGCAGCTAATTGCGTGTCGTCGTCATTAAGATCTGAGAACAACCGTAATACAAACAAGCTGGCTGTGTCATGTTATGAATCACTGAACGTTGTTACAATGTTAATCTTCATACTCTTCCTGTATACAGATGGATGACGAGGCCTCTCTATTACCACGCAAACTGCAAGCTGCTCTGGAGCAGTCTCTCGAACAGAGGAACGACATCATCAGTCAAGACTCCGACAGCGAATCAGATGAAGGTGAAAAGCCTGACGTCTTGGCCTTGCCCATCTGTTTACAATGGACTTACTGTGCATCATGAAACATGCTCTGACTGTAAAGCACGACATCTGGCTTCACTGTATTTAATTTCCTATTCAAAGCCTTTGTTGTTTATCCACCATCACCAAATCTAATCATATTTCATATTTTTTGTTGATGCTTGATCAAATATAAATGGCTGGTTTAGTTGCTCTAGCATATTTTCTAATAAACGTTTCTGATATTTCCCAGAGTGCACCACCTCTTTGAACAGTGTGGTATCAGAGGCCTTCATCCGCTTTTTCCTGGAGACTGTTGGCCACTATTCGCTGTTTCTTACCCAGGGCGAAAGAGGGGAGCGCATCTTCCAGCGCGAAGCCTTCCGCAAGTCGGTGGCTTCTAAGAGCATCCGGCGATTCCTGGGGGTCTTCATGGAGTCTCAGATGTTTGCTGGATTCATCCAGGATAGGGAGATGAGGAAATGCAGGGCCAAAGGTAAACCATGCTTGGTCAATTAAAGAAAATGGCTTCCCATAAAACATGGTGTCTGTCCTATTAGCCTCAGGCTCATATAAGCGTAATTTGAAACCCACACCCAGCATAATGATATGCTACTTGTGTGGGTCTTTCTGAGATGGGGTGGAGGAAACTTTTATGTTGGAAGTCAGATCTTTACTGCCACCTTCTGGTGACCAAAAACAATGCTTTTGACAGAAGCATAACGTTTTTTGTTTTTGTTTTTTTGTAATAGGCATTATTAATAGTAATCTATGATCTATTGATATGAAGTCATTTAATTAATTTTTATTGTTTATTTAATTTATTCTTTTCTTAAACAGGTCTGTTTGAGCAGAGGGTGGAACAGTATCTGGAGGAGTTACCAGACACAGAACAGAGTGGAGTCAACAAATTTCTGAAGGGTTTAGGTGAGTATAGTACAGCAGTTATGCGACACATTCACTACCTGTCAAACTTTTGGAATTATTAAAAAAATGTGATTGCTTTTGAAGTCTCTTATGCTCACCAATGCTGGATTTATTTGATCAAAAATATTGTAAAAACAGTAATATTGTGAAATATAGTTGCAATTTAAAAGTACCGGTTTCTATTTTTATATATTTTATTGTGTAATTTAATCCTGTATTGGTAAAGTTGAATTTTCAGCATCTATTTCAGTGATTTTAGCATCACTCCAGGCTTCAGCGACACATGATCCTTCAGAAACCATTCTAATATGATGATTTGGTGCTCAAGAAACATTTCTTGTTATTACTAATGTTGAAAACAGTTGTGCTTAATATTTTTGTGGCAAACTGATATACTACCATTCAAAAGTCTGGGGTAAATAAGATTTAATTTAATAAAAAATAAATTAATTAATACTTTTATTCAGCAAGGGCACACAAAATTGATCAAAAAGTGACAGTAAAGACATTTATAATTTTTACAAAATATTTTTATTTCTCATATATGTTGTTCTTTTGAACTTTCTATTCCATCTTTCTATTTCTACTTTCATGTGACACTGAAGACTGAAGTGATGGTTGCTGCAAATTCAATTTTGGCATCACAGGAATAATTTACATTTTAAAGTATATTAAAATATTAGAAGCAGTTCTTTTAAAATTTTAATAATATTTCACAATATTGCTGTTTTTACTGTGCTTTCGATCAAATAAATGCAGCCTTAATGAGTGTAAGGGACTTATTACAGAAACATTGAAAAATCTTAAATGTTCCAAACTTTTGTCCGGTAGTCGACATATGTAAGTACAAAGCTTGTTTATAAAAAGGCATATCAGACACTGCATATCAACTTGATACATCAAAATGTCATCCTTTTTCAGGAAATAAAATGAAGTTCCTTCATAAAAAGAACTAGAAACACGTTATTGTGAAACCAAAAACTGTGGACATTTTCTACAAATGCTACATCTGAAGACCTAACACGGCTAAGTCACGTATGTTAAGATGTGCCTGTTGTGTTGACTCTGACGTTCATATTTTTGTACATATTTATGAAAGCTGTGCTGTTAATCTCACATGTAGCTCTGTTGTTACCTTTCCTGGTACTTTGTATATGAAACTAGAGAAATAATAGTATGGTACTGAGAGTATGAATGGTTATATTGCAGTATAGCCTCCACCTTTAGAGTTAACTGTGTTGAGCTGGATGAGATGTATGAATGGAAACTTGACAGGTGGATGTACAGTGGGTGTGTAGTATTTAATGCTAGAATTTCTCCATGAACTGTATTTTGTGCATTTATTAACACATGAAGAGTATAATTACCTTATTTACAATGTTTAATTAAAAAAAATCAATAAAGTTTTTCTGTTAATTTCTCATTCTGCTTTAATGAACTACTTTGTCCCAAAATGTTTAGGACCATAGAAGCAGACCCTAGCTTGCTGTGACTATCTGTTCAGTGAAGATATTCCTATCCTTTTAGTCTGGCCTTTCCGTGTTTAAAATAGCAGTAATGAATAATACACTGGGAATGTTTTGAAACTTGACACATTTTTGCTATATTAAAGAAACAAATATACAACTCCTGAATTGGTCATATGTGTATTTCAATCCATAGCCAGTGTCTGGAGAACACAGATAATGGAAATGGAGTTTGCAGTCATCCCAAAAATTCTATTTTTATTTGTTGACCTGAACTCAAAATGTTTGAGTTGAGAGCAAGATCCTTATTCAACAAGCCTTCGGCAGACTTTGTTCATTGCATAAAATGCAATATTCTTTTCTATGCATAACATTTTAAATGAACAAGAAAATTGCTTAAATTACATTTAAAATAATATAATTTTCTAGAAAGAAGTTACCATTTATTCTGTCTTGTCTTATTTCCTTTGTTTCCAAAAACCTCTCTTTAAACTGAGCAAGTTTGAAGTTTTTTTTTGTTGTTGTCCCAAACATCCAATAAATTTCTAAAAAACTACAATTCTATATAAAATATTTTGCATTCATAAATATTTTAATGCAATCTAAGTCGCAGTCCACTCCCCATTGGCAGGTATTGAAGAGAGAGCAAGTGCAGAACCGACATCTTTCTCCATAAGTGCCACAACAAAGGTGTCTCGTAGCACTACCACGAAAAATATGACAGTTCAGTTATAAAAGCTGTTGAAGTGGATACCATAGAATACATATAATTGCATACCAAATACTAAATCATACAAATAGGCCTACTAATAAATAATATTTTTAACACTCTGAAACACTGTATTAGCTATACATATATTTATGGATAAAAATGGCAATTATAGTGACCCTGATAAAACACTTTTGGCTTTTCCAATTTGACGGGATTTTGGCTTTTGAGATTTTAAACACATGAAACTGATATAAACATCTTTATCTAACCCTAACAATATTATACTCTCTAAACTGATATCATTTTTTTTAACTAACCCTAACAATAATGTGATTCATTATTCTAGACAAGCAACTGAACGCATACTGTCTGTTGCTGAAAGTAAATCAATTTAACGTGCGGTAAAATGGGAAATCGTGCATCCATAAACTTTATTCGCTCACCTGTAGTACAAGAAAACTGATACAAAGGCGACATCTGCTGGATTGGATGCAAGCGACATTTAAAGGTAAAGAACTTTAGTGCGCAACGCAGGATGCGTATCACGAAGAAATACAGGAGGTGAAGGACAGGATTGATAATGCGCTCGCTTTCGTTGTAACTTTGATTACGTGGCGACATCTTCCACACATCTCCTGGAGACCGCACAATGAAACTTGTGCATCTACACTATAGATGCATGTACAATTTTTGCCTTTTGACAGTTGAACGATAGAGGGAATAAAATCAAACGCGTGTAAGAAATATAGTCTCCGGGTGTAGAAAGACTTTAAAGGATATGGTGATAGGAAGCTATTTAGTCACTGAAGCATTGCTGAAATCGCTGTAAGCTTCCAGCCGCCGAAGAGGAGGAGGAGGAGGAGGAGGAGGAGGAGGATGTTTTTTGGATTTGTGCCTCTTCAAGAGAAGCAAGGTGCGGTTCAAACTCATTATGTGTGCTTGCGTTCATCACTATTTCATTTGACATCGTCGGTGTGTGGTTATGCTAAGTAACGATCTATATTGCGCTAAACCACGTATGTGAGCAGTTTGTGCAGGATTTTGTGGAGTCCCATCCCATCTGTGAGGTGTGCGAGAAGCATCCAAAAACAGTGCGCATTTTGACATGTTGCAGCTTACGCATGTGCATACGTGTATCGTATCATGTCATTGAACTATTTAAAGCGTTCGTATGTTTCCTCAGTGTTCGTTTTTATTAAGTATTTCTATGGAGTTGCCTGGACAATTCTTTGAATTATTTTGTTGTATTTTTAAAGTAGCCTAAATAATGCGAGGTAAAGTGAATAATTGGAGGAATTTTAAAGAAACAACCTTTTATCACTCTATGTCTGCAGAATTCATTAACAAGAATTTGTTTCACTCAATAGTTATTTGCCATTCATATGTGACTCCAGTTACTGTAATTTACAGTTTAAAATTGAAGGTAAAGATCTATGCAGTCAGATTGATTTCAACCTTTCTGATTGATTGTCCTATTTGTGCAAATTATACTGCGTCTAGCTTTCTGTGCAAGTATGAATTTGACCACTTACGTCTGTTAAATTGTTTAATGCAACCTAAATGTAAAAGGTCATTTATTGGGGGCGGTAATTCAGGTTCGTCTTGCAACGCAAGCTGTAATTTGGGTTAGGGTTCTTTTTCAAACTAACGCTAGAATCGTTTTTTCTGCTGGTATATTTCTGTTGGTCTATAAAGTTATCCTCTATGACTTGTGGATCGAAGTAGTAGTCTGTCGAAGTAGCTTAATCATAACCCATAATTTACCGTACTGGAATACGTGTGCGCAGCATAGTGTTGTTATGGTTACCTCCTTTAGGCGAACGCAATTTTTGTGTTTTAGCATCGATTACATACGCGCTGTGACTTACATTCTAAACTCATGTGTGAAAGCCATTATAAAACTAAATACTTATTATAGGCCTATCTCTACTTGTATTAAAAAATATATACTTGTATGAAAATGTACATTTACTAGAACCACCCATCCCGCCATCCCGAAAAGTTTTTACTTCCTTTGTTGCTAAAGAGTTACTTTATTTGTAGTGTATGTATATATATATATATATATATATTACTCATGTGCACTGAGTTGATGTCTAGAAACTTGTCTTTATGGTAGTTTATCATAGGTAGCCTACAGTAATTTCTCTTAATCTGGGCACACTTATCTCTGCTCATCTCCATTTTCTTTCATTCCATTTTATCTCAAAATGTTTTATATTTCATTATTTGTTATGTAAATGTTCACGTTATGTTTTCAGTGTTTCCTTTTCACCTGTTAGAATGATACTGACTCCTTTTGAAATCTTTCTTCCCAGTGCATGATCACTTTTTTATTACATCTTTTTTTTTTTTCGCACTAAATCATGTGACTGACAACTGGTTATTTGTAGCTTGTTTAATGGGACATCACATCATTGCACTATGCTACAATCAAATATTCTGTCTCACTAGACAAATGACTGCATATTTACACATGAAAAGGAAATAATCATCTCAGAGGCCCAATGGTAATTTAAACATTAGATTAAGTTCGTATCACTTATATTAAGGACATGACTGATTACCATTTTGCTATACTTCATTCTTTCAGATTACCAAGAAAAGGCCTTTTCTCTGTGCATGTTAGGACTTCAATCTCCAAACCGATAATTGGCTATAATAAACATTCACTTGTAATGAGTGAAGACGTAATGAATTGAATAATCTGTACTGAGCCATTACCATCTGCTATGGGAAAATCTGCCATTCCCCTGTCATGATCTCATAACCAATGATGTTAATGGATGTTACTAAGGTGTTCTTCCAGGGGAGGAACCTCCTCTCAAGTTTCTATTAATGTACTTCCTCTAGAGATGACTGTGCTTGCTCAGGCAGAAAGATACTCGTGCTGAATCCACTTACTGGAGAAAAGGAGTCATCTTTTGTAGTAGGACCAAAGAGTGAGAGAGAGAGAGAGAGAGTGCGTGAGCTTTTTGTTTTAAAAGCCAAATGGAGTGGCATGGAAGGCAAGGAGGGAGACGCAGACATGCCTGTCTGCCCGAAGAACAAGAGAAAGACTAGCTGGGTAGACTAATTGTGTTTTAAAGTGGGTCTGTGGGTACACAATGGGGAATGGGATGGTTTTAAGCTCCCATGAGCAGCTCTAGAGGAAGAGAGAGTTGTCAGATTTGTAGGTCAGGCTGCAAGGGTTGTTGTCAGGCAGACTCACGGTGGTAGAGGTGCTTTTAATAGAGGGGATCCGCACGACACCGATGTCAGTTCGGGTTTCATTAGTTTCCTCCAATCCCGTTTGCCCGCCCACCTGCCTTATGCATCGGTTGTTGAACATCTACCTGCGAAAGACTTTGAGGAAGTCATGCCTCCAAATTCTTTCGAAAGGAGCAAGTGTGATAGGATCATAATTGATTTCACGCTTTGCAGGGCATTGTGCGAGCACATCTCAATTCCCATCTGCTCCTGGAGAAGGCTGACCCGGTTTCAGCGTGTTACGTGGGAGCGGGCCCGGTCCGGAGGGACCTGTCCCTTACTAGTGCTGATCTAAGGAAGCGTGGAAGGAGGGCACCAACGTGTTCCCTCATCCCCCATCCATCTCACACCCTTCGCCTGCGCTCCTCCGCGCGATTCTCTTAAATATTGTAGGTCATCTGGCACCTCTCCCCTTCCATTTTTGGCAACAAGGGCTGCCGGGGATATTTTGTCCCAGAAAAAAAAATAATTATCAGCCCTCCCTAATTCCCAATTATTATGAACAGGCTTATTTAAGAAGAAAGATCATGGTGGCTGTCAGAGGGAAGGATTCGGGATCCGAGCAGCTGAAGGAAGCCAATGAGGAGAGCTACGCGCCGGCCACGGCTGAGGGCACACTCAGGAGTCTACTCCGCTGGGGTTAAAGTGTGCAGTGTGCACTACTTCCTGCCGCAGGTAGAGCTGTCACAGTGTGGTGTGGAGCTCTAGCTGTGTCAGAGGCTTGCCGTGTCCTTGCTGCGAGAGCTGCTCTGCTGGATATCACAATCGTTCTCACGCGCACACGCAGAGGAATCCATATCCTGCCATCGGCATGGAGAAGGTAAGACGTTTCTGCACTCAATCTTTAGGATGATTTTGCAAGCTCGAATCTGTGAGATTTTAATTGTCTTTGATTTGACACCGAGGTAATCAGCGAACTGCAGCTTCTTGTGACACACAGATGACGCATGATGTGTTATTGTTTCGCCAGTTATGCTTTTTGGGAATAATAATGCGAAATGCAAATGCAAATATTTTTGGCGTCCTTTGAACAGGCGGCTTTGCTTTCTATTGAGTCATTAAAGCACAGCAAGTGCAGGGTTCAGAATGAATACTTTATATTGTTTTTCATGACAACAGTGCTTGGCTTATGAATATTACGTCCCAGTGGACAGCTTGAGTAGTTGAAAGTGATAATTCATCCAAAAAAAACAAACCTGTATGACCTTCTTTTATATCCGTGGAGCACAAAAGAAGATATATATTGAAAGTCAACGGGGTCGAAACAACGTTAACTGACAACATAAAAAAAACTTTTCATGGTTTTCAGATTTCAAAATGTCTTTTGATATTTTGAAGTGCTACTTGAGATATTTAAAGATGCTGCTTCAGTTTATGCCTGCTAGATTAGTTGTTGTGGAGGTAAGACGCCTACTCATTTGTGGCTGACAGATGTGTCAGCAAATCCTGTTCTATTGGAATGCAAAAGAATCAAATTTATTTGAAATGTATCTGCAGTGCTGTTCTGAGTGTTCAGAGCCCAGGATGGCACAGAGCTTGTGCACCTTCTGCAACAAGTGGCTGTGTTTCCAGTGCACAGACTTGCATCAGCATGAAAGAAGCTCCACTCAACCCTTTGACCTGCAGCACCAGCCGCGAGACCCTCCATCACCGTCTGAAATAGGCAAGAGCGTCTTTCTTTTACCGATCTGTTATTACTTTCCTCTTTTAGCTCAGGTCGGCTGTTTGCTTGCACATTTCTGCTCTTGGCCACTGGACATTATCAGCTCCGCACCATATTTTTTGAACCCTCTTCTTTAACTCGATGAATAATGCATTTTATAATAAGTGTGAATAATTATCCTGTGATGTATTGTGGTGTTGTATTTTTTTATGTGACCCACTTTCTAAAACTGATTCTCCCTCAGCAAACGCAGCACAAATTTGGCCAGCCTGTCCGATGCTAGCTTTCTTTTATCGATACTCCTGAGCTTTCTCTCAAGATGCTCGGAAATCCACTTAACGTATGATAATGACACCACAAGTCCTCACAGAAAATGAGAGATGGAGTGATAAAAGAACAAAAGAAAAAGAAAGAGTGGTAGAGTGTGAGAGAAACAGAAGTGCGGGTGTGAAGCAGGATGTGGTCGGTCACCAGTATGCACTGAGGCAGTGGGAGCTCTTCAGTGTTGGAGCCTGTGGTCTCGTACTTTAACACATCTCTCCCTGTGCAATGTGTCATTGTGTCTCTGTCTACCCTACACTACCGGCGCTTCTGATTGACAGACTGTATATCCAGTGTGACAGGTGCTGTCGGTTGAGGTCCTTCATTTCTAATGGAGTTCTGCATTCTGCCTGACTAACTCTCTCTGCTCACAGAATTATGTATGCAAAGGGACTATTCAAGTAATAATGGTTTATTTAGATTAGGATTTTTGCTACAATGGAATGGAAATGAGAATGTTTGATTTATTTGTTTACGCCTTTTGCTTCAGCCCAGGTTAATGCAGATGTCTTTATTCAAAGAAACTCATTTCTGGAAAAAAATTTCAAAACCTCGCCAGGCATCTCTGGTGTTTTCTTTTGGGGTTTATTTGTATATCTAAAACAGAAACAAATAGGTTTAGATTTAAAATAAAATAATTTAATTTGAATTTATTGTATTTTTAATAAAAATAAAATATGAATGCATTGTCATTTAACTTTAATTTTATTGAAAAAATAATAATTTTTAAATAATAAAAAGTAACAAAATAATTATAATTATTTAAGTAAAATAAAATGAAATTGTTAAAACTTGTCTGTAGGTTTTCAGATTTGTTTTTTTTTCATTTTTCTGATATTTTTAAATTCATTCATACATGAAATCCATATCTATTATTTTATTTGGCTCTTCAAAAGCAAAAACTAATTATAATAATATAAATAAAAAAATATATAAAATATAATAAAATAATACGTAGTTAAAACTTGTCTGTGTATGTAGTTCACATGATCATTTAAACTTAGAATTCTGATGTGAAATTTTAAAAATTTATTTAAAATAAAATAGTTAAAAACCTGTCTATGTAGTTTGCATGATCATGTAAACTTGGCATTCTGATGTGATATTTTAAAAATAAATTTAAAATAAAATAAAACAGTTAAAAACCTGTCTATTTATGTAGTTTGCATGATCATGTAAACTTAGCATTCTGATGTGATATTTTTTTAAATGTCCAGTGCAAGGTGTGTGTGTGAAATGTGGGCCATTCTGAAGGCACACGTGAAAGCAGTATCTGTTACTTTATTTGGCTCTTCAAATGCACATGTAGAGTTACATTCCTCATATTGGCAGGGCTTTTAATGAGACATTAACTGATTGATCAAAGCTCTGCTGTGTTCCATTTGTGTCTGTTTTTCTTTTGCTGGAAAAATGATGCATTTATACGTCCAGAATTATTTATAAGGATTTTGATGTGCTTTGTTTCTCCACTAAAAATAAATGAAGCTAGCTAGAATAGAGAGTGACTCACAGAGGCCAAGCCAGGACTTTCGCGCTATATTGGTCAAAATGATTCGAGCATACTTAAAGCCTCATTAAACCTGCAGAACTCTGAGAGATTCCACATGGCCATATTAACACATTTGTTTTCCTGCATTTTTCCATTGTAACATTTCTTTTAAATATTTGATGCTTGATTACAGATAATGTGTTCTTAATGGGAATCGGCTAATTAGGCCTCATTTCCTCTCTTCTGTTGTGTTGCGTGTCTCAGGAGCCGGTTGCTGCGGGCATGCAGTTGTCATGTGTCCTCTCCATAAACAGGAGCCTCTGGAACTCCTGTGTGAAACGTGCGACCTCATGGCCTGCAGCATCTGTCACTTGTCAGCCCACAAAGACCATCGGTATGCATAGAGGACACACACTCACTGCCACGCAAGGCCACGTTCACAATGCTCTTGTACACATGCAAACACTCTCTCTCTCTCTCATACGCTTTCCTAAACACATGCGCAAAGATGCAAACAGAACAGGTGGCCACTTTCTCACGTATCAACAAATATGCTATCGAGCGTGTTGTGTGTAAACGTTAAAAGTCAAAGGTGTTTCACTGGCTGCTGGTTTCTTATCTTTAGACTGGTGCACGTTGGGAAGGCTCTGCAAGACCAGCGCTGGCTCCTGCAGAACCTCATGGCCCGAGTAGAGGAGAAGAGATCTGCTGTGGAGAGCACCGCTAAACAGATCCAGGGCAGGTGAGACGAAATCCCACCTATTCCACCTCCACGATGCTGCTAATGTTAGCGTTAATGCTAGTTAAACAAAGCGTGTCCATTACTCATCTGAAATGTGAACAGCTGGGATTCTTAAGATGGCAAGCATAGTTTATGTAAAGCATAATGACGTTGACAAGATCCATTGCTTCCCTTGAATGATTTCGGCAGATGTTCAGGCATCCAGATGTACCGGTCATATCGGTTTGTTTATCCTCCCTCACCCATCTCCCTGTTCGTTTTTCTTTCCATTTGTCCAGGCTCCATGGTATAAAGATCACGCAGAGGAAGGCAGAGAACCAGATAAAAATGGCTAAGATGATTATGATGAACGAGCTTAACAAACGGGCCAACCTATTAATAGAACAAGTGGAGGTAATTACTTTTTCCCTAGTTTTAAAGCGAGTTTTTTGGGCAGTGTAGAGTAGTGCTTGTTGTTTGTAATTTCTCCGTTCACAAATGCAGACATGGTTTTATGTTTACGCAGCGCGATACGCAATGCCTAAAAAGACAGTATAAGTCATTATAATCCATAATTATGTCCCCACTGGATGCAATGAATGCCTCGTTTATAATGGGTTTTCATGTTTTTGAATCATCGCTCCGGCCTGACAGGGCATCATCACAATATGGTGAGGGGCGTAACATTTCCGTCTCACGCTTGACGTATTCGGCCAATCACAACGCAGTGGATAGCTGGCCAATCAGAGCACACCTCGCTTTTTCAGACCGATGAGCTTTGTAAAAATCAACGCGTTTCAGAAAGGCGGGGCATAAAGGAGAAACAATAATGTACAGTATGTGGAAAATAATGTGTTTTTTTAACCTTAAACCGCATAAACACATTTCATTACACCAAATACACAAAATAATGTTCTTTTTTAGCAACGTCATATGACCCCTTTAATGTTTTTGCCACTAGCACAAGATTAGTGTTACACGATAACTAGTGTTACTAGTGCAGAAGAAGAAAAATTAGGAATATCTGTTGCTGCACAAGCACAGCAATGATTCCTTCTTGCTTTAGGTCAGCTGGTTGTTGAAGGTGGAAGTCGTTCATACCCAGAGGTTGTGGGTCATCCCAGTATCCTGCAACCCCAGACTGTCCCATGCATAGCAATGCCTCCTCTGTGCCATGCTGTGCGGGAACCTGGCTGCGCCTGCCAGACCTTCTGCCAGCCCCAGCTCTGCTGTCTTCACTGCAGACCTACTCAATCCGTCCCTTTGGATAAATTCCCTTCCCAGTGTCCACAGGCCGCCAGGCGGAGCTCCCCGCCATCTCTTCACAGCTGCTGGGAGGCTGATGCATCTGTCCTGGTGCATCCACCTGGAGCTCAGCCTCTACAGCATTCCACCTCTCACCCTGGATCTGACCCCGTCCAGCATGGAACCAGCTCCGCTTCACCTCGACAGCCTGTCGGAGCCAACAACCACCCGTTGTCCGAGCCGCTCCCTGCTAATTCCAACCAGGCTGCCGTGGACGGGAGAAATGCTGCACCAGGCCAGCCTCCCTGTGAAAGAGGGCACACATCTGCACCCGAAGCAGCTACAGGGCAAGAAGCATCACCAGACAGAGAGCTGCCACAGGTCCGCAATCAGGCTCAAGTGCAGACGACCACAGAAACCAGCAACCAGCCCATGATTGAATTGCAGCCTATCGTTGCTCGCATCGAAGATGACAGGGTGAGTTTCATTAATGTGTCGTTGTTTATCTGTCCTTTGCAAAGCAATACCTTTGCTCTCATCGTGCTCGATACTGACCACAATCCTCAGGCCTGGCGCTCTTTAGTGCTTGCAAAGGTTGCATGTCAACCACGCCATTAACTGGTCCACACCACAAGTCCTAGCAGATGAAAAGGCCATCGAGCAGCACTGCAAATGTGCTGAAGCATTGGAGAGGGCTCAAGTGTGGGGTCCTTACAGTATACTGACTTTCATTTTGGTAGTTGATCATTTGTTTTTCAGTGTCAAGATTTTAGGTCAAAACTTATATGAATGAATGAATGGAAAGTATACATTTTCAGCGAAGTGACAGGTCATTTTTTTAAACTATTATTAACCATGACTATTATTAATCATCTAGTAGCATTTGTACAAGTCATTTCAATTGTCCTGCAGTGCAGCAAATGAGTTTATGAAGTACAGATATTCCATGTAGTCTCTCCATGACAGTGGCTCACAAACAGGGGGCCGGGACCCACTAGGGGGCTTCAGCAAACTTCTAAGGGGGACTAAAGATGACTTAATGATTTAAATTAAGAAAAAAAACCAACAACAATTAAAATAAGCTGAAACAATTAAACACAATAGATATTTCTTATTCTAATTCACCCCCTCAAAAATGGTTTCCTTTAAAAACACTTGAAATCTCTGGTATCAGTTCAAACATTTGCTCACTTTGCTCATGTTGTGCTTGTGCTTTAAGTGTATTTGGAGTGGATGACGGCGTGAGAACAGTGAACTCGACATCGAAACGAGCTCCACCGCTCTCAATATTAATTTAGAAAGAGGAAATTGAATCATTCCAGGCAGCATCATCTCTATTTATGCAGCTGTAATGTGTTTTCATCTTGACAGCTGCTGACAGCACCTCTGCAAGCAGATGGTGAGACATAAGTGAGGACAACAGTGGTGTGAGCTCAGAAACAATTAAGACCACAAAATAACACGCGCACACACACAAACCTGCTCTGCTCAGCATCCGCTCCTCAAGCTGTATTGGATGAGAACCAAACCAGGCGATAGAAGTTATTATTAGTTCTCTTGATGCCAGTATTTTGATAAATCTTCCTAGGATAAACACCAATCAAAATCAGTTTCCCTGTAAGATTTGGCACTCCAGAGGCAAATTAGTCTAAGATACATTTTTTTATGTATCATCTTCAGCCCATAACTGTGACATGATTAAAAGGAGGGAAAAAAGCGCTTGGGTGCAACCACATATTTACTTAACCTGGCATTAATGAGAAGCTAGGGGAATTGAAGGAGCCGGCTGTTGCATTTTTCTTCATCTCGCTGTAGAGCCCACACGATTACCTTTAAAGTCTCTGAGACCTCCTACCTTCTCTCTGCACCCACACATGCTTGCAAGACACACTCTCCACAGCTTGGTTCATTCCACCCTCTCCTCCTGGGCTTCTATCAGGTGAGTGTTTTTAATCCTGAGGTAATTATGAGAGAGGGAAAAAAACAAGAGAGGGCTTAAAGACAGATGGAGGAGGGGTTACGTCGAGCGTACGGGCTGCTGCCTCCAACTCTGACATTTGTCGTGTTAGTGAAGGATGCAGTCGCTTGGGCTTTTCTACAACTTCTCGCATTAGTGAAACGATGACAAGAGAAGAAGAGGGCCGTGGAGGAGAGAAAGTCTAATCTCTGATGTGTTAATGCTGCTTATTCAAAGAAGCCTTCCATGCCCCAGATGTGGGATTTACATACGATAATTGGTGCTGTAACTAAGTCATATATTATCAGGAGAATTATTTTGTAGTAAGATGATTATGATGAACGAGCTTAACAAACGGGCCAACCTATTAATAGAACAACTGGAGGTAATTACTTTTTCCCTAGTTTCCCTCTCCGTCTTTCTGTGCCGTTCCAAACGTATTCATCTCCAAACATCCATGGATGTAGTGGTGATGGAGCGTGCGGAACGGAACGTCTTCTGAGCGAATCATGCAAAATAGGCAGATTCTGCCAAGCAGATGGGGATCTTAGGAAAAGCAGTGAGGAGATCCACGTTTTTGTCGTTGTCTTCCTGTTGCAGAGTATCTCCAGTGATTTCAAGCAACGTCTGGAGGACCAGCTGCAGGGGGCCATAGAGCTGTGCAGCCAGCTGGAGCACGTGCAGAACTTCATTACCTGGGCTACAGCCCACCACAGACGCAATCCACTGCTATTCAGCAAAGAGCTGGTAGGATTTTCTCCTGTCCAAGTGGGCTTCAGATGTTAAGATTCTTGGCAGCTGCCTGCTACATTTCTGGCAGGTCTCAAAAAGTTGTCGGCTCTATTAGTTTAAAGCAGCCTCACCTCTTTTTTGAGGCTGCATTTAGAACTAGCATTAATCATTTTCTCGCAAACTTAAAAATAGAGAGACAGTGCAGAAAGAGTTTCAGTTTCACTGCCAGAATTGCATGCGATATTTATAACTCGGTGTCTCTGTAATCATGAAGTTTGATCTATAATTCATTTGTCAGATTGCTCTTCAGATGCAGCAATTATTGGAGCCACTGATGCTCTCAGAGGCTTGGACCCCGTTGAAAGTCAAGTTTAACTGGGATGCCAGCTTCTGGACCAAGCAGATGTCCACTTTAGGTAAACTGAGCTATTGGACAATGCCATTAGATGGCTATTTTTATAACTTTTATATATGCTGTGTTCTTCATACAAGGATAATGTCAAACTAGATTTTCACATTCCAGGAAGGAAATTCCAGTGTTTTCAAGCCCTCAAAAACTGGTTTTAAAGTTAAAGATGAGCTTAGGGTTTAGACTTTGGTTCTGTGTAAATGAAATTTGGTTGCAGTGTAAAGGTGGCTATAAAATGAAAAATAGGCCAATCACAGTGCCTTATGCAAAATATCATAATGCCATCATCACTTCTGTTCATTTAAAATGGAGAACATTGTAACTAACAATGTCAGTTGGACATTTTAATATGAGTTTAATCTTTAAATGTCTTTAAAAAATACTTTTCTTAGTTATAGTTTTGTTTTGATGAAAATATTCTTTAAATTTATTCATGCCATAATAATTCATGAATTTCACTAGCATTGCATTTAATTTTAACAAAAATATTTTAGTTGATGATAGTGCAGTATCAACAATATATAATAAAAAATAATAAATAAATATAAATCTGCCTTTGGACAATAAAAAATATTTTAAAAATATAAATAAATAATATATAGTGATATATATACTGTATATCTATAGTGATAATGAAGACGAGATGAAAAATGCAGATTATGACGCTAATATATATTCATTATCACTGAGGACATAAAAATACCTTTCTTAAAGGGGTCATATGATGCGATTTCAAGTTTTCCTTTCTCTTTGGAGTGTTACAAGCCGTTCGTGAATAGATAAGATCCCTAAAGTTGCAAAGACTAAAGTCTCGAACCCAAAGAGATATTCTTTATAAAAGTTAAGACTCGTCCACGCCCTCCTAAAACGCCTCGTTTAAACA